TAACCCGTGAATAAAAGATGGAATTAAAATCATCACAATGCTTTGCTACAATAACTAAAACATACTTCAATAACTAAGGATAATTCTATAATTTGGAAAAGATTTGAATGCTACTTTTGACTGTGGATTAGGGAAGTGACAAACTTCAACTGGAGTCCAAATAAATATATCAGGTTCTGCTTGTTGCATTGAATAAAGCTCACTATGTAAGCCTGTAGGTCTATTACGATTACCTAAGGTGATTAAACCCCATGTTCTAAGCTTACTTAATATTAGAAGTAAGGCTTCAAAACCTATTTCAGTCATTCATCGTGTTTTTACAATAATGAGGAGTCCATTCCGGCTATATACCCCTAATTTATTTAAATTAGTGTTGTAGGCGAAACTGCTTTGTAAGTTTCGCCCAATTTGATCTTAATATAATTAGGTTTCGCCTACAACACTAACTAAATCATTTTCTACCCTTTTGTCGTATAATTCGCCTTAAAGCAATTTTCATATGCAAATATTCCACACTAGAGATTGTACCCGTTGAGAAAATCACTACCCGGGTAGACCCGGATAAATTGTATTTTAGCTATCCATTTTACTAAACCATTTAATTTACTATAAATAAACCGACGATATTTAACTGCTTCTGAGCAACGTTCACCACTAGAAATACAAGTGTTATTAAATGATTTAATTTACGGCATTCTTTTTTGTACATAAGTTCTAACATTACGTACAGTACATCAATTAATAAAAGCTTTTAGTGAAGATATCTCGACAACCACTCAATAAAATTAGATGAGAATTTTTTTAAATTAGTTTATATTGATTTGAAGAATCAAAATAAAAAAGATTTCATCGAATTTCATTGGATGATTGTCGAGATATCTTCGCTCAAATTGGAACAAAATTCAAAACATTCAAATTGTAGTCAATTTTTTTATAAAAAAAAACTTTAAACGAAGATATCTCGATAACTACTCAATGAAATTCGATTAAATTTTTTTATTTTGCTTCTTGTAATCTTATAATTTTTTTTAAAAAAGAAGTTTATCGAATTTCATTAGGTGGTTGTCGAGATATCTTCATTCAAAGTTTTTTTAAAAAAAGTTTATCGAATTTCATTCGAGATATCTTCACAAAGTTTTTTTAAAAAAAAAATTTCGCGGCCCTTATTTAAAATTCTGAATTATACACCAACTTTGAGTGAAGATATCTCGACAACTACCTGATGAAATTCGATG